TAGTGGTGAAGTAGAATCGGAACTCCCAGATTGTTTGCCACCAGCTGCTGGGTCCCCCTCCACCCCCTGCAAAGACCCCATCATCCCTTGGCCCAGAGGCTGCCTAATTGTTGTTTAATGTTTCAAAGATGCTGTCCTACACAAGAGATACTCATTCCAAGCTGTAGAAATACCAACAGCTTTGCATGCAGCTGGAATAATTGCAAAAAAAAAAAAAAAAAAAAGCAGAGGAAAAGAATGGTCCGACAGTATTGTGCTTTATGGAGCTTAAAGAATCCCATATAGCTAATCTAATTACAACCAAGGCTCAGGCAGCTTAGAGGTGTTTATACAGCCAGGCACATGGGCTGTCAGCCCACTCAGCTGAAGGCTTCTCCTCACCACCCACCCCTATGCCTTTGACGGCTGTGACTAGAATAGCCCATCCATAAGACTGGCAGCGGGCACCCAGCAGCCTCGACATGGGAGCAGCCTAGCACTGAATTCTGCAGGAGTCCTGGAGGCTCTCACCTTTACTCCATACTGCCAGGGGCTGCCTTCCCCCTGCCACACCGTTCGTCACCTGCCTGAGGGTAGCTCTTGGCCAGGCTGCAGATCATGCGCGCCGGTGTTGACCAGAGCTCTCCCAAGGAAACCGTATGACCATTGAGCTCCTGACCGCTCTGGATAGCCAATGCCCACCCCTCCCTGACTCAGGCCCCGACCCTAGCATTGGGAAGTGCTTCGGCCCGTGACCACAGTGGTGGAAAGGAATCCGATAAATATTTCTGACATTTTCAGGTGTGTCTGTTTCTGACCCATTCTCTCAGAGCTTCTGCATGTGGTTCCACAGGTTATGCCCTTCGCTGGGGCACCCAGACCAGGGGGAGTGGGGGAATAAAATCTAGCCCATGATCTCCGTTGGCTAAGCCATGCATCCTGCTATGAGTCTGTGTTGGAAATGCCTTTTTCTAATTGGGAGTCCAAAGGGGAGTACTTTTCTAGAACGTGCATCAAGGTGCCATGTGCTAATAGCCCAGCCTGTGCCGACCTCTGCAGTGAAGAACAGCAGTCTGTTCTTCCCATGGTGGGCAGCATGGCTTTAACAGAGCTGCTGCAGCCCGGGCTGTGTTCCCTGCACCTGCTGCCCCCCCCACCCCAGCCTTCCTCAACCTTCTCTGAGTTGGTCCTACACTTAGCCTTCTGCCTCCATTCTCTATCAAGCTGCTGTTCGCTCCTGGGATGGAACCCTTACCCCCTGAGCTGGGCTCTAGCTCCTCATCTAGCCCTGGCCAATGCTCCTATTTGAGAGGCTTGCCTTGCTTCCCATACCACCTGGCTGGGGCCCTGCTCCCCTGGTCTGATCCACCTGCCTTCCCACAGTCTCAGGGCTGAGACCTCCGGCCAAAATGAGCATCCTTAGTTAGTGATGCTTGGATGTGCCCAGCCCCTGGTGGCACTGCCTCTTGGTGGACCAGCCCCAGAGCTCAGTCAGTTTCTCCAGCTCTGGTCCTGCACGTTGTCAGCCTCTTCTCTGTCCTCACCAGCTGCTCTGCCAAGGTCCCAGCAGGCCCCACAGCAGAGCCTGTCTGAGTCTGGCAATGGGGTGGCTAGTACATCACTGGTGCTGGGCCCCTTTACTGATACGGGCAACTGACTCGGGGAATCAGAAACTCCCCAGTATGCTTCCCTGGCAACCAAGAAGGGCCCCCAGGAGGGCAAAGGGCCTGCCCTCCTTAGCTCATGAGCTCCCTGTAAGCAGTCAGCAGTGGGAAGACTTTGGACCATTTGGCTTTACACACTAGCCGAGACGACCACTATTTGATTAACAAAGCCAGCAGGAACCAAATACAAAAAGGCCTTCTTCCAGCGGTCAGCTGTGTGACCATCTGTCGAGGGGGAAATTCCTGGAGCTGGAGTGTTGAGCAAGTGTGGGAGGAAATCAGAAGATGTCTCTCCTGCCCTCAGGTGAGGGGCCCCAGCTGGGAGTCCAGCTGTCCCTGGAAAAGGCCAGGGTCACACTCCCCCAGCCCGCAGCACAGCCAGCAAGATATGTCTCCTTGGCCATTTTTGGCCGTCAGCCCATCCTGCTCAGCGGCTTGTACTGGTGCTGACGGTGGAAATGCAGTGAATGCCAGGGGCTGCCAGGAAGCTGACATCCTCCCTCTGCCTGCCCACATATTTAACACCACTTGAAACCCAACAGTCAAATATTTCCCACTGATATTAAATCTTTGGAGTACGGAATGCCTTCTGGTGGCATTGATTTTCTGAAAGGCTGCCCCAAACCACACCGCCTCCCAGGTGTCCTCCAGCGGGGTTGGAGGGCTCAACTAAAAGGGGAACATGCAGACAAGCGTTGGAGCTTGTGGCCACCCCAGCGGCCACCCAGCCCTGTCCTGTGTGTTAGCTGTCAGGGTTCCCAGGAGACTGGCACCACCATGTTTGATGGCATGGTGGAAGGTTATATGGGAGACATCGTTAGGGGTGGTAGAAGCCAGGACAAATAACGGGGGCCTGAAGGTCCAGCAGGAGGTGTGGACCCCTCTCTACTGCACACCACTAGAAATCTGCTCTTGTTGTGGTGGTGGGAGAGAGCAGATTTTTTTTTTTTTTTAACCAGGGCTCTAATCTGCTCTCTGGGGCCCTAAATTGGGGAACAACTCCATTGTTTTTTTCAGGGACTGCCTCACCTATCTGCTTAGGCCCACAGGGACTTAGGCCTCTTGTGCTCCTCCAGCCATTCACATGCATTCATTGAACAACCCGAGAAGCAGGTTCCAAACTCCTCAATGGGGAGGCGGTGGTGAGGCAGATGTGGTCCCTGCCTCTGACAAGCGTTAGTCAAGTACACAGACTCTACAGCCCTGCTTTGGCACAGATGTAGAAATGAGATGCCTCATTTCTGGTTGTTTTTAGAAGCTCATGTCTTCGGAGTTCAAGATGTATGTAGAATTTTAGGGAGAGAAGCTCTTGAACAGAAAGCAAGCCCAGGTTTGTCAGATCAGTGAGCAGGAAGGCTTCATGTGAACCACCACTAACAGAAGGCTGCTTTTACCAGACAGCCCCAAGGTTGACCCTTGACTCCTTCTGTGCTGCTGATGTAGGGCATTGATTTTAGCCTGACCAAGGAGGGCAGGGCCTAGGTAACAAGACATGTAGTTCCCTCTGTGTTCTCATCCCTGGTCCCCAAAATGTGACTTCCAGTGGCCTCCCCCTGGCTTAGGTAGTTCTGCACTCAGCGCCTGACCTACAAATAGGGTGGGTGACCTAGTTCACTTTGTGAGTCCCTCTCCCACCCACAGGGGCTTCTCTTATGGGACATTGGGCATCTTGAAGCAGGCAACCCTAAAATCCAGCCCAAGCTCCTCACTCTCCTGAAGGGGAAACAGATCCGGAGAGGTTCCGTGAGTTTCCCAGCGGTGCACACCTAGCTAATGGCAGAGCCAGAGAGCAACCCCACTCTGGGGCTTCACTAACTGTACTCCTTCCTCCACCAGACACTCACAGAGGGTGTTCTCAAGAGTCAGGGAGCACACTCTGCACCTAAGATGCAAGGATGGGTGGAAACAGTTTCTGTTTCCAGAGAGCTCATAGCCTAGTGCAGATGATAAACCAGAAACAAATAGCCATTACCCACAAAGGGATGGTAAGGGCCAGCAGCCACAGTGAAAGGGAGCCCAGAGAGAGGTCTCAGTCATTCTGGGAGGACTTCCTAGAAGAGCTGACATTCGACCTGGGCTTTGGAGATTGAATGGGATTTGGACATGGCTATGAGGGTGGAGGAAAAGACAGAACCTGCCTCTGTTTTAGTGTCTTTCTAATTAGACTGTAGGGAAGAATCAAAAGGATCATCTATCGAGCACCTTTTATGTTCCAGGCACTGTACTACACACTTGTACACACGATCTGAATTTTTCCAATACCTCTCTTCGTCTTACAGATGAGGAAGCAGACTCCAAAGTTACTTAGCCCTGAATGGAGCCTTCGTCTTTGATTCCTTCTTCCCTCTTCCCCATGAGGCCTCTTCCCCAGAAGGGTGCCTTGTGCCACACGAGGACTTGGTGAATCTGATGAATTCAATGAAAACAGAGACCAAGAGACTGGAATAGTGAGTTTGTGAAGTCACAGGGAAGGCAACATACCCCTTCCTTGGACAACATGTGGCTGAGCACAAAGCTATTTAGGATTTCTGTCATCAGAATGTCTTCCCCATGCATATATATCCGCCTCCGGGCTGGTATAATCTTAGCTTAAGTGAATACTAACAAGAGCTTTCCTTGTTCCTAAGCATCTTTGATGTGTTACTTCACACGCGTAAGCCTCTGGACAGCCGTGGGAGGTGGGTGTTATTATTATCATGCTCATTTCACAGATGACAACACTGAGGCTCAGAGAAGTTACCGGTTATATAGCTAGGAATAGCAGAGCCAGCATCTGAACCCAAGTTGGATCTGGCTGCTGAGGCTGAGCACTTAACCTTGTCGCCACATTCAGGGGTCCTGAACTCCGTTACCTACTGAGGCTTGATAGATAAGGTGAATGGCAGAGGTGAGGCAATGGGGCTAGTGGGATGGTGGTGAGCAAGAGAATGAGCCCGAGCTCAGCCAAAAGGGGCAGCCAACACTGGCTCCAGCCTCTTCCTAGCCTGCAAGACTGGCCGAGATCACACTTTTACGTTTGGTGGGCTGGACAAGCCGCACGGGCAGGCCAGGTACAGTCCTGGTCTTTGTGTCTAGCAGCCTCTGTCATATTGCTTCCCAGTTTGAGACAGAGAAACTTCTCTGGAGATGCTGTTTGTCTCAGCCATGCTTGGGGCAAACGTCTCCCTCTCGTGCTTGCTGCTTTCCCACATCTCAGAAAGCAGCCAGTCCAGAGAGGCTGAATTCGCCTCTCCCTTGTGCAGCTTCCTTCATTGTGTGCAGTTTGAGAACCTTACAAGGCATGGGCTGTGCGTACGGTTTTAGTCTCACTGATTCAGGGAGACCCCTTCTGGGCTGATCAGCCTTTCAGAAAAGTACCTGGTCATCGTGCCGTCGAGGTATGGATTTTGTCCCTAGGTTGTGGACTCAGATGCCATCCTTGTGGTATCCCAGAATCTTGAGAGCTTGCAACTTGCGTCAGGCACCCTGGACCAGGCCCGTAATGGGGAGGGGAATGCCTAGTGCCCAGGAAAGCTGCAGAGGAGGCAGAGAGTTTGAGAGTCACTTAGAGCTCCATCATGTCCCTCTGTTGGGGCTCATCTCAGCAGGACCTCTCTTAGGGGCAGGAGGTGGGGGAGGGGCCGGGGAGGGAAGCCAGTGCTCAGGCCTTCACATGGCCTGACTCTGACTGTGGGTGGCTATGATTTGGATGTGCTGCAGCTCACCAAGGCTTACCCTGGCTTGCCCAATTCTCTTCCCTGAGACACCTCCGTTTCCTGCACTGCCTGTGACCTGCAACCCTGAGGGATGATCGTGGAGTGTGTTTGTGGTCCTTGTGGTTGCAAATGTGTCTATCTTTTCCTTTCTTGTATTCATCTAGGAGTGAAAAACCACAGCATTTCAAAGCCAAAGACCCAGGGAAAAAGCCCTAGGCCTCATGTGTCTCTAATCTGGGGAAAGAAGTGTGAATTGGAACTTCACAAACCCAAATCCTTAAACCCTTTCTCACCCAGTAAATTTGATGGGGTGACAGGAATGAATTAGAAATTAGATCAGGGCTCAGCATTTACATGGGTTCTGAGCCAAATGGAAATTAAAAAGAGTATCTCCAGCAGGGTTAATGGTGAAGGCAAGGCTTCCAACATGCCTTGGCAGGGTGTCCCAACCTGGGTCTCAGAGGGGAATAGATCGAAGAATCATCTGCTGATGAAATCAGGAGGTGGAGAGAGCGTTCTCTACCCAGATAGTGGGAAGGAATTAACTTGTCACCAATTGGCACTCACTGATGTGACAGAAAATGCCAGCAATGCAAGGCAGATTTTAATGCCAGGCCACCCAGTGGCAGCATTGACTTCTCCTATCTTCCCCGAGGTGCTTAGACATTGAAAAAAAGGAATATTTTCCCCCACGTTGAAAGAGGTTTCTAGCTAAGTCCCATGGACTGAATGTGTCTGGAAGCTTGTCTGTGTTGTCAAATTTCATTTGGCTTAAACATGAGAACTAATGAAGAGAATCAAAGAAAACAAAGTTGTTTGCTGAGTGTTCCTGACCAGGGCTGCTCAGGCATGAGGCCGAGGTATTGCCTAAAGTGATTGTATTTTCTCTGAAAAAGACGTTCAAAGTTATTGTTTAATCTTTCTGGAGTGAATTTCCATAGTCTTAGGTGTTCAACTACTTCCCTCTAGATCTGTATACATGACATTCCCACAATACATCAGTCCAGCTGTGGATGAGGTTACTGTTCACCGAATTCCCCAATTCTGCGTGGCAGGAAAATCAAATGCCATCCTTCCACTTTCCAGTTGGGCTCCTGTATTATGCCGGGTACATCTATGGGAGATGGAAGGAAGGAGAGAGGGAGACCAAAAAGACAGAATGGGACAGAGAGGAAAAGCTATGGATAGGTAGGTGTGTAGATGGGTAGATGGATGGGTAGGTGAGTGGATGGATGAATAGATAGATAGATAGATAGATGCATGGGTGGGTGGATGAGTCAGGAGGTGGATGGATGGATGGATTTAATCTTTTCCATTTTATGACATAGCTATTTTATGTCCATTTGAGAGATGAAGAAATTGAAGGTCAGAAGCGGTAGTGAATCACCAGAGTTCTCACTCCAAGATGGTGGCAGAGCTGGGGATTGAATCCACATTTCCCAACTCAAATGTGTCTATCTTTTCCTTTCTTGTATTGCCCACTAGGCTTTTTTTTTTTTTAATTGCCTGCCTTATATCTAGAGATGGACTCACATAGGCTTGGATAAGCCACTTATACAAAGAGGTGGCCAGAAGGAGGTCCATTTTTTTCATTTAGCAAATATGTACTGATCACAGTGTTGGCAGAATTCCAAGATGGAACCACAAGACTCCTGGACCCTGGTGCATACTCGCTTCTTCTAGTTATTCAATTAAACACTAACCTGCCTACTGCTGTGAAGAGTCTTTACTGATGTAATAATTCAGGTCTCCAATCAATTGGGCCTGACCTAATCACGTGAGCCTTTTAAGAGCAGAGCTTCTTCTGGCTGGTTGCAGAAAGGAAAGTCTCAGAGATGCTGGAGGCCTGAAATAAATCAAATATCCATGCTGTGCAGGGCCTGTGGGGGCCACAGGGCCGGGAACTACAGGTTCTCCTGTAGTTCCTGGCAGAGAGTGGCCCCAGCTGACAGCTGGCAAGAAAACAGGGACTTCAGTCCTACACTCAAGGAAATGAATTGTGCCAACAACCAGTAAGGCTAGAAGAGTGCCCTGAGGCCCGGATAAGAGCTATCATGCCAACTGACACCTTGATTTCAGCCCAGGGAAGTCCTGAGCAGAGAATCCAGCCACACCATACCTGGATTTATAAGCTACAGAAACTATAAGATAATAAATTTGCGTTTAAGCTGCTAAGTTTGTGGTATTTTGTTATGCAGCAACAGAATATGAATACAGTCACCTACATTATGTTGGCCACTGTGCTAATCACTGGGAATATGCGGCTGGCATGGTCCCTGCCCTCACAGAGCTCACAGTCTGGTGTGAGAGATAGACAAGAAACAAATCAAATGGTTACAGTGTGATAAAAGCCATAAGATATATAAATAGGGTGATAGGAAATAAATCAAATGTGGAGGGGCCTTGCTCCAGGTGAGATGATTAGAGATGCCTCTCACCTGTGCACTGAAGGATGAAAAGGAGTCAGCCACATGAAGAGCCATGGAAAAGTGTTCCAGGCAGAAGGAACAGCACAGGCAAAGACCCTGAGGTGGGAGAGAGCCTGACGTGTTCTCAGAGTCAAAAGAAGGCAAGTGTGTCTGGAAGGTGGCAAGGAAGGGGGATGATGGCTTGAGATAATGTTGAGGAATTAGGCAGGGGCCTCATCTCATAGGACCTTCTAGAATAGTACTCTCAGTGCAGTGGGTCACATGTTTTGGGGTATTTTAAACGGGGAGAGGTATGATCTGACCGTCCTTTCTGGAGGATCTCTCTGGCTGGTCTGTACTAAATAGTCTGGATATGGGTAAGAGTGGAAGCAGGGAAATCATTTGGGAAGCTGTGGCCTATCTCAGGCAAGAAGTGATGGTGGGGATTACAGGCAAGATGGCGGAGGAGTAGGAGACCTGGGCTTCCTTTGGTCTCAGGAATTCAGCTGAATAGGGATCAAACCATTCTGAACACCTACGAACTCAACAGGAGATCGAAGAAAAGAATAGCAACAACTCTCTGAACAGAGAAGCGACCACTTACTGGAAGGTAGGATGTGCGGAGAAGTGAATCCGAGGCGATATTCGGGAGGATAGGCGGCGGGGGAGGGGCCTCCGTCGGCCGCTTCTGGCAAGTGATAGAGCCGCGGAGCACAAAATCGGACCTTTTAGA